GGTTTTTCAATGCAATCAATTTGGTTTGAATAGATTACTCCTCATTAATTCCATTCAAGATATTAACAATGATAAAGTTCCTGATACTCTTCAAAGTTTATTAGCTGATGAAAAATTCTTCCGACCATTATATTCCTTTATATATGGTGTCCAAGGTATATAAAAATGAGAACAACGTAATATCACGTTGTTCTCATTTTTATATCATGAATTGTTCATCACGTTGTTCATCAGGAAATCATTATAATCGTGTCGTCGCGTTAAGTGCCCTTCTTTGTGTGTGTTGGCTTGTTAGTTTACGCGTCAACGAGGCGTATTTTGAATCTTATCGCGACGTGGTTTTTGGTGTCGAATGAAGGAACTTAGTTGTGTTTAACTGAGTAGTATGACTCATTAATAGATCGCTTTAATTCCCTCTTTATAATTTGTGATAAGTGAATCCGGGACATTGAATGTTGAACTTTGAACTACTGTCCGTTACTGTGTATCACGTGTTCGATTCTACGATGAATGTGGAATTAGGCGAGTTTTAGTTAGTTAAATGTACAATGAAGTTAATGGACTGTCATCGTGACGAACGAAGAAAGTGACTGTGGACGGCGCCGCGGAAGGTTACCTCAATTTGGAGCGGTGCTGACGTCCGGGCTGCTGCCGATGGCAACGGTCTAATAAGGTCAATCACCACCAGTCACAGCCAGATACACATCACAGCACCTTACTTCCCTTGCACCACACAACCACATGCGACCTGACCGAATCCTCAGGGACCAGTCGCCTTGGATATAGGTAAATAAGCTCGGTATAATATTCTCCCTGTTGAATAGCAGCAAGATCGAACGCCCCCCCTTATTGTTTATTGTAATTAGGAAATTCCACGCGGCCATATTGAGGCCCGACCTACGTCTGTTCGTTGAAACTCTGCTGAATGGGCCCCAGAGGATTTGAACCCTTGTGGGAGCAGCCGTAGGCCGTAACAAACTGGTAGCAGAGCGTGGTTCCGGGTTCGATTCCCCGGTCGATGCCGACCATAAGTTTGATAAAAATTAAACAATTCTGGTGGCAGGGAGCGTTGGTTTGATTGGTTTAATTTTGTGTCTACAATCACGCCCGTCCGTAATACGTAAAAATATTTTTTTTGTACGTAATAATAAAATTATTTTCCTTTGTTGCTTGCTTATTTGGTTAGCGGGTCGATTGAAAAGCCGCGCCCGTTTAGGATGCAAGCGGGAGTTTTTGTAGAGGTATACGTCATGTAGGTAGATGGTTATTATCACGTAATCGGTTAATTATCGTTGTCGGATAGTTGTAGTGGATTGCTTATCGAAGGGTCGATTTCCGAGCTAGGCATTTTTTGTTGATCGGCCGTGATGTGTATCTTCGTTTGTATTGTAATTTGTATTTGAACTAAAGAGTAGTAATTGTATTTGCGCAATTTGAATTTAATTTGATTTGATCGCACTAGTATTTGTTATTTGTTAATTTGATTTGTGTCTTTTCTTTGTGCTAACTTGTATTTGGTTTGATAAGTAGTAATTCGTATTTGTGTAATTTCTATTCGACTCGATTTGATAGGAACTGCATTTGTTAACTGTTAATTTTTTGTTGTATTTGTTATTTGTTATCTTTGTAATTTGTGCTCGAGCTGCGTCGTAATTTGTATTTAGTAGTGATGTCATCGCCCAAGCTACTAATCCATTGTCTGCGGACTGAGTTACGCTGGGCCACAAGCGCCCATGCTTTGATAGGTCGACCGGATAGGGTCCATAACTTGATGAAGCGGTTCAAGCAGGTCGATGCTCGAAGGGCCGCAGTGGAGGAGACTTACGCCGAGCTCGAGGATTCGGATGTGGAAAAGGAAGTCCTGGACTCCTGTTTCGCGGACTACGAGCAGTTCTTTTCGCTCACGGACGAGTTGATCGAGGCTGAAGGCAGGTATGCCGAGGAGGCGCGTGAAGCTCGGATGAGTGGCCTGCCCGAGTCCTCTCGGAAGCAGCTTCAGCCGAAGCTGTTGGGACGACTCCCAACTCTGGACCTGCCAAGGTTCTCCGGGGTCCTTTCCGAATGGCTGACCTTCATTGGTCTTTTCGACAGCCTAGTGGACGCCCGGAGTGACTTGACCCCGAGCCAAAAGATGGCGTACCTCCTGGCCTCACTGGAGGGGGAGGCCCTGGGCGTCGTCGGCCACTTGAGATTATCGGACGCGCCTACCAGACTGCTCGGGACCTCCTAGCCAGAAGATACACCAACGTCCGGCGAATTGCGGACAGACATGTTAAGCAGCTTCTAAGCCTCCCGCTGCTTAGTGACCGGGCCAGACTACGTTCGGACCTGTTGGATCCAGTCTTGGTGGCCTGTAATACGTTGAGGCGGCTGGATTTACCAGTGGGCGAATGGGCTTTTTTGTTGCTCCGCATTGTGCTGTCCCGTCTACCTCTCGATTTTCGAATACATTTTGAGGAGAGGTACGGTGGGGACGAGGCCTCCTATATTCCGCCCTTCTATGACCTGCTGCGGTTTTTGGAGGAGCAGTGCCGGCAGATCGAGAACGCGGCGGGCACCGTTGACGACTTACGAGCCGTGCCCAGTGAGAGGCTGAATCCGCCAGGAAAGTCGTCGTCAATCCCCCCCTGCTCCTATTGTCGAGCATCTGATCACCGGGTAACGTCGTGCCCGAAATTATTAGGTAAGCCGGTTCCAGCGAGGCGAACTATCGCCAAGGAGCGCTGCTGGTGCTGCTCATGTTTGGAAGGGCACCTCCAGCGAGACTGTCCGCATCGGCGGCCCTGTCTGCATTTCCAGGGCAATCACCATGCAGTTTTGTGCCTGGGTGCGAACGGCATCTCCTCTCGGGGCTCTGCCAGGCCCTCGACCCCCACGGGCGGGGGCGCTCAGCCACGCCCTCTGACGGGCGACTCTCGGCGCCCGCCGGCCAGCCACCAGGCCCCTTGGTTTGAAAGGGGTCCCTCCCCCGACCAGTCGGGGGGTAATTCCCCCAGGGGCGGGGGTGTCATCACCCCCACCTCAGCGTGTGGAGAGGAACTTCACGGCCACTCATCAGTTCGCTAGACTCTTCTCACTCCCGTTAGCTGAGTGGCCGCTACTGGTGTACCACTGTTCCCCATTTGATGGAGGCGGCCCTAGCCAGCTGCCACCTTAGCTCCCACCACGGCCGCCTCCACTGAGCCTTAAGCCATCAACAGTCCACTTGTCAAAATGTTTTGTTGCCGACTCACTGAACCTGCTTCCTGGTACAAATAATGTAGGCTCCTTTTAATAAAATTGTTTTTATTCTGTTTTTTCTTTCATACTTTCTCTTTGGATTCCAACCAACCCACCTAACCTTAACCATTTTTTTTTCTAATTGTAGAATCCAAAGGGAATCTGTCTGAAAATGACAAAATAAAATAAGTAGTTAATTTTTAGAACGCAAATCGAGCATTTATTTTCATTCCTCTTCTTCATTATAAACATTCAATAAAAATATCGACATTAATTTTGATATAATTGAATCGATCCCTAGCGTATATGTAAAATAATTTGTTTAAAAATATATTCACCAAAATCATGCAAATTATCAACAACGTGACTTTTTTCTTTGCAAAATATTACAATTAACTAAATAATTGAAAGTATTCTATATACAGGATATTACATAAATTTTAACCAAAATAATCGCGTCATAACACTGACGACATCTTGAGAATTTACCTGTTATATGTGCAATTATCAGGATTATTTCCCTTAATGACACCACAGTCACTCACAGAAGAAGTAACTATGCTGGAAAACAATTACTGAAAATAATTACTACTACACTTTTAAAAATTACAAAATATTTATTTTTATTTCTTGCGCGCCGACTTGTGCTGACCTGTCATTCAAAATCGGTTACACTTTGAGAATTTCTTCTTCCTTGCACACTATAGCCGTCTATAACTATCCTAAGTTTATGATTATTAGGAAAGAAATCATGTTACAACACTAGCTCCTATTCAAGGAAAGTTAGAAGCGTGGGAGCGGGAGCACGTGCTGAGTCGACCCGGAGCGTGTCTTCCGTAACAGCCTTTGACACCCTAATAAATTTTGTTAAAATCAGTTTAGATAAGAATGCTACAAATAAAAACTCCTTTAAATTATTTCTACGACAACATTACCCAAGGGAACTTACTAACTGACATTTTTTTCCTTCAAATATTTATTTATTTATATATTAATAAAGATATTTATTTATAAAATTTATAAGCATGTATATACATTACATTTATGTATGTATGTATGTATTATTGTATTCTCTTATTGTAAATATATGTTATATCTATATATATTTAAATATATGGCGTGCATATATGTACTATGTATATATTATATTTCAATATATGTACACTTTATTTATCTATTATGTTTGGCACCTGCCTACAATTGTCTTTGGCACCCAGGGTTGACTGGCAGAGAATGCCATATGACATTAAGTCCGCCGTACCCTAGATCTTAAGGTGTTACATTTAAGTTTTGAAATAAAATAAATATATAAGTTATCAAAATTTTACTTACTGATGAAAGGAAATATCAATATTATCCTAAGTTTGGTTCCGTGAATCGTTTTTACAGCTTCTTACTGCATATTTCATCATTGTAACTTAAAATTCAAGTAAATATCAGCGAGAGAAACAATAAATGCGTGAATACTTTTGTTTTGTGATTAATAGGGTCACCCTTATATTTTCGAGACTGTTCATACCGGTGCTTACTATTCATACTCATTAATGCTAAGTCTATAGCTTGCTTATGTATGCTCTAAGGGTGCGAACTGTCAAATAGAATCCACTATATAGTCTATGCTGTCAAATGTCAATGTCAATCGGCACAGTAATCGTTTACTATTGATTCATTGTTCATAAAATGAATTTTATTAAATTATAGCTGAAGTAAAGCAAAGTAAAGCAATATTTTACTAAATTATAGTTATAATTTCTGTATGAAAATCTTTTATAATTTGAAAAATGAATCTTGAGACAAATAGGCTGAACACATTCACAAATTGGCCTTCCTCAGCCCCTGTAGATCCCATAAGGATTGCCAAGGCGGGATTCTTTTACACAGGACAAGGAACTGAAGTGCAATGTTTTAGTTGTGGGGGAAAAATTTCGCAGTGGAACTACGGCGATCAAGTTATGTGGCGACATCGTACGATGGACCCGAATTGTGCATTCGTCGTTAATCCCCAACTGTCCGGTAATGTCCCTCTAGTTTTCAGCAGAGAATGTCCTTCCAGCGATGATGTCGCATCACGCTCTGAATCATCCCCAGTAAGATCAACACTATCTTCATCTAATGATCGGCAAAATGACCCTGAATTGTCAGAAGATTATGGCCTTACTGAAGAAGATGAATTGTACAAAACTTATATACTTCGGCTACTTTCTTTTACTAATTGGAATGTAAGCTTACTTTTATTTAATAATTTATAGTTTATTAAGAATCTATTTGTTATTTGTATCATTAGAATTAATATGATATATTTATATTATATTATTTTATTTAAAATCTGTGGCATAGTTAAGTGTGAGCAAAGCGGCCCCTCGCACACTGTCTCGCACTGCACGGGTGATGAATACAGTCTACTAATGGTGATGGCCGAGAGAGTTCTCAGAGTTGAATTTAAGAGAGTATAGTCTATGTAGTGGGGATTCCCCGATACTTCTCATCTCATCTCCAATTTGTTTAAAAATTTAACTGTGATTTCATGGATCGTATTTGTGTTCCACTTCTGGCAAAGGCCTTTCCTCGGTACGACTTTCCGTTGACTCCCATCGAGTTGGGGGATGATACGTATTTTTACAGAAAAGTTACACTATTATATGCACACACACAAAGTCACAACATGCGGAAGCGTGTAATTTTTGAGAAAAAAGTTATTGAAAATCAATTATTCTTGCATTGTTTATGTCTAATCCTACAATAAAACTGACGCCATTTTTTATTGTTATTGTCAGTAGGGATGTCGATTCTTTCCCAAAAGGATTGATTTTTTAAATAGATTCGAATTGTAAGCTGATGAATCGGTACGACTTTCCATTGACTCCCATCGAGTTGGGGGTTGATACGTATTTTTACAGAAAAGTTACACTATTATAAGCATACACACAAAGTTTCAATACGCGGAAGTGCGTAATTTTTGAGAAAAAAGTTATTGAAAATCAATTATTCTTGCATTGGTTATATCTAATCCTACAATAAAACTGACGCCATTTTTATATTGTTATTGTCAGTAGGGATGTCAAATCTTTCCGAAAAAGATCGATTTTTTAAATAGATTCGAACTGTAAGCTGATTTATCGATTCCCAAAAAATCGATTTCTAAAATATCTATATTTTTTCATGTTTGCATTTATAATGTAAATATAAATCCATTTTATGAGAAAAAAATCCCCTTCATCATAAAATATAGGGGGACTGATTCAGAAGGATTTCTATATCTATTTTGAGACTGCTACGTCTCCGGCGCTGCCGGAAGAGCAGCCTCTACGCCTTAGCGTAACAAATCGCAGGCATCCCTCCTCGCCTCCGCAGCTTCGGCTTGTTGGTCGCCGAAGGCGACCAGCCTACGATTTGTTACAGCAGGCGGAGGCTGCTCCCCCTACGCGCCTCCGGCTCTTTAAAACCACTCTAGGGGTAAGACAGACTCGTATCAGGTGGAGTCGAGGTCAATCAATTCAGTTCGTTGACATAAGTTGAACCTAACCTATTTTATTTGTTATCTGCCCTAATTGGTACTGTGAAAATAAAACAAAATTCAATAAGAGATCATTTATTATGGTATCTTTCTTGTTTTTCATAAAATGGAATTATATTTACATTATAAATGCAAACATAAAAAAATATAGATATTATAGAAATCGATTTTTTATGAATTGATACATCAGCTTATGATTTGAATCGATTTAAAAATCGACCCTTTACGGAAAGAATCGAAATCCCTACTGACGACAATGACATTACAAAATGGCGTCAGTTTTATGGTAGGATTAGATATAAACAATGCAAGAATAATTGATTTTCAATAACTTTTTTCTCAAAAATTACGCGTTTCCAAATGTTGTAACTTTGTGTGTGTGCTTATAATAGTGTAACTTTTCTGTAAAAATACGTATCAACCCCCAACTCGACGGGAGTCAATGGAAAGCTAAGCCCAGTTTTTTTGTGAAACAGGATATTTATTATTCTTAGTACAGTTCAAATTTAAATGACTATATTTGTTTCTTTTTTATTTTGTTATAAAAAAATTGATATTTATCTACCATTTCTGGTTTAATTTATTGAAGGAGTAATTAATTAAATTTTAATAAATAATTACTCTTATTAATAATTTCGTCATCATCATCATCATTACAGCCTTTCATAAGTCCACTGCTGAACATAGGACTCCCCCAAGGAATGCCACAAAGCACGATCCTGAGCCACCTGCATCCATCGACTTCCTGCATGTCTTACCAGGTCGTCACTCCATCTCGTGGGGGGTCGCTCTAAACTTCGCCTATCAGTACGAGGCTGCCACTCGAGAACCTTTCTTCCCCATCGGTTGTAATTTAATTAATAATTTAATAAAATGAAAATTAATAAATTGATATGAATTTTGAAATGAATTTTTCTTCACCAATTGCATATATTTTTTATTCCTTTAACTTAATTATATACAACATTAAAAACTATAATAATAAAAAAATCTAAAACTAGAAACTTAATTATCATATAGTCCTACTCCCTGCGGTATCATGCCAAGAACGCTGGCTGCGTTTCCCAGCTGAATGGCTATACTTAGCCTTTGAGTGAGAAAAGAACCAGCCCTCTTATTATTATTTATTCTAAACATTCTCTACAAATTTGTCCGGTTATTGCAAAATAACACTGTATAGAGATAATAATGTTTATTCCTGCGTGTGATTATCTGTGTAAAGTTTGGTGTGTATCCGAATGTGGGTAATATAGAGTGTAAAGTTTTTGGCAACATGAGAAGTAATGTTAATTTGTTTAAATTTTGCTATTGGTGATTGTATCAAACAAAGAGCATTTAATTTAAATTAAATAATTATAACTAGTGAAATACTTTTATTACAATGTGTCATAAAAGTATTTCAATAGATATAATTATTTTATTTTATTTTATTTATATTGCTGGATATTTATTGGACCTGATAATTATTGGATAGTTATCAATGAACATTATTATCTTGATAATTTGGAACCCTGGATAGAATACCTAAATGAAAATGATTAATTATTAGCTTTTTGTAGTATTTCCATGAAATTATGTGTTTCTTTACAATGACTATGCTTATGACGTAACAAATCAATTGAATCAGAACGCACTTAATAAATCAGGAACGAAACTTTATTGCATGACTTATAAAATAAATAAATAAATAGAGCTGCAGAGCATTCGCTAAATTTAAATTAAAAAATGTGGATATTAAACAAATTTTTTTAAAAATATGCATTTTAATATTCTCCATACAAGTTACTATCTTAAGTTTGCTGTTTTATGTACACAAATAAATATGGTAGTTTCTTTGAATTAACTTTGTGAATATGTATTACAGTAAAAGGGCCTTGCTTATGCAACTTCGCCCATGTCTAAATTAGTCGAAGCTACGCCACTGATTTCCGCAATTCCACGTTTACCGCGTATTTTGCATGTGGGCAGGAATAATGTAATTATTAGAGCCATGAGATCTCCCCGAAGAAGTTCAACAGTTCTTTGATGTTGCAAGCAACTTCGGGGAGTGATCCCAGCGTGCCAATATGTTTAGCCCTGTATGCAGCGATATAAATAAGGAAATAAAGAAGGCACGTTTTGTTGTTTTTATGGTGTAAATATATATGTGTTTGCCTAGTTTTTGGCACCTTTTTTAATTGAAAAATTGTGTTTTCGTTTAATATTACAATTACTTTAAGGCGACTTTAAAGAAGGAGGAAGTCTTTAAAATTCAACTAAGTTTTTTTGTATGTTATGCAATATCTTTGCCATTTTATCATTTCTTTGGATTTTGGATTATATTGTTTTGCTGTAAACAGACAAGTATATATGTGTTTGAGTGTTAATTGTTTTGATTTTTAGGACAGCTCAGTATCTCAAGAGGCATTGGTAAATGCAGGGTTCTATCATGTGGGTGAAGGTCGTCTTCGTTGTGCTTGGTGCGGTGGGGAGCTTGCACCTTTTAGAAATTTTGGTTCTTTAGGATCTCCCCTTGAAGTACATAGAATGTAAGTTTTATTACATAATATTATACATAAATTCTCAAGCCTGTAACCCAGAGGCATAGGCAGAGATTACGGACTTCCACTTGTCACAATCCTAACACCTTAATCTTATATAAGTTTAAATTCATTTTATTATTTATCAAATTAATAGCTATCTCAAAATCACTGAGCTAGTAAATATTAAGCAAAAAGTTTATTTGATTTAAATTATCATCATCATCATCATAATGGCCTCTGCACTACTGAACATAGATCTCCATATTTCAGGGGGATATTTGCCATAGTTTCCATCAAGCAAGGATATAGAAACAAATTGTGTTTTTTTATAGAGTAGGAGGCAAAAGAGCATATGGCTTATCTATTATGTATGAACATCTGCAATACCAGAGGATTATAGATGCAATGCTGGCCTTTTAGAAAAGAGAAGGTTCTTTTCTTGAAAGTTCCTATGTCATATCTGTCCATAAAACTGCTACCAACAATAAATTACAAAAAGTGGTTGTACATGGCATAAAATTCTTTGTAAAATCACAGTAGTGCAACGCCAATCATGGAGATGATGTGGATGGAATTTCTAGTTCTGTTGCAGTGTATGATAGCAGAATTTAGTAGCTGGGATTAATCTAAACGATTTCTCCAAGCACTGCTTGTGGTATATATGGAAGAAAATGCACAGACATACAATTTCCCTATGCAAGGTCAGTGGTTCAAGCCCATCAGAAAAAACTTTACCTTGCATGACTCAAGTCGCTTTGTGGTTAAGTTGATGGAGCTAACAGTATCCAATATGAGGCCGAACCTGCGCTTTGTAAGGATATAAGCAGTGTGCAGGCATGAAAAAATGTCTTAATCTATTGGGCACACAAAGCTTTTTAGAGGCTAGATTAGCCTTCTCTTCCAAGTGACTGAGAAACAGTATCACACTCAATATGTCGAATCTCGATATTTCAAAGCATGATACAGAGTAATGGGGTTCTTTGCTCTATGCTTGGGAGTTAGAATGTGTTAAAAAGACACATTTGGCAATACACATTACTGTTAGTTTTATTTTAATATACTTGTATGAGAGTGAAAGTTGGGTTTGGCAGAAGAAGCATGAGAGTGAAATTAGTACATACTGTAGAAATGTATTTTTAATGTTAGTGTTGGTTTGCTAGCAGATGTCGTGAACAGGATTAAAAAAGGAATGCTTTTGGTTTTGTTGGACATGTCAAATTAATAAATGAGGAAATAGTGACAAAGCGAATTTATGCTGCAGAAGTGAATAGCAGTGTCCACAGGGGAAACCTTGGAAACAGGAACAGATAGTGAAACTTTTTTATTCAATATACATTATAAATAATACTTATTGAAAGTCACTTTTTTAATTTACCAGTGGTTTGGAATAAATCTTTGTCCTGGAAAGAACCAGCAAGACTTCTTAAAAATAAAATAAAATAATAACTTACAATCACATGCTTATGTTACACAAAACAAATTAGAAATAGCTTGGTAGCGAATACCTAGATAGAAATTTATCAACCCAATTGGCGATATATTTAAGATGAGCCAAATTAAGAGGAGTTTAACCGACAACTTCCTATCCATTGATAAATGAATGTAAAAGAAGCGAGAGAGGTGTAAAAGAAGCTCTTTGGCCTAAACAACTATGTATAGATCCAAGTCCCTTAATCTAATTTCATCATTGTATTAATGTTACACTATTTTATGTAGTAAAGTAAATAACATGCCTACCATGCTCCTCTGCTGGACACAGGCGCACTACTAAAAAGTAAAGTTGCCTCAGCCAGTATCGGAATCCTCGGCGTCGACATATCGAGTGACGTGCAGTTTCGTGGTCACTTGGAAGAGAAGGCCAAATTGGCCTCTAAAAAGCTTAGCGTGCTCAGAAGAGCGGGACAGTATTTCATGCCAGCTCAACGCTTGCAACTTTACAAGGCGCAGGTTCGGCCTTACATGAAATACTGTTCCCATCTCTGAGCTGGCACTGGGGAGCCCCCCCAGTGCCAGCTCCTTCCACTTGACCGCATCCAGCGCAGAGCGGCTCGAATCGTCGACGACCGAGTCCTTTCCGATCGGCTTGATTCATTGGCACTGCGAAGAGATGTTGCATCCCTTTGCATTTTCTTTCGCATCTACCACGGGGAGTGCTCTGAGGAATTGTTCGGATTAATCCCAGCCGACAAATCTCACGAACGCACATCGCGGTAGAACTCCCGATACCATCCACACCATCTGGATGATTGGCGGTCCACCACTGTGCGATTTAGAAGATGTTTTCTTCCCCGCACGACTTCCTTGTGGAATCGATTACCATCAGCGATTTTTCCGGACCGATACGACTTAGGGACCTTCAAGAAAAGAGCCTACTCCTTTTTAAAAGGCCGGCAACGCATCTGCAATTCCCCTGGCGTTGCGGTTGTTCATGGGCGGCGGTAGTCACTTACCATCAGGTGAACCGCACGCTCGTTTGCCCCCTCTCCTATAAAAAATCTACTACTCCATAGTATTATCCCGTGGGTGTAGTAAGAGACGACTGAGGAAAACTAATCAGAAGATGGACGGTAGCGTCTTCCTAATAACGACTTAAAATAAAGAACTGCGGTTGCCAACCTATATATAAAAAAATAAAAAAAAGTAAAAGACAGTTGTACAAAATTTTAAATTATTGTCTAAAGTTTTTAGAAATGTTGCTTAAAATTTATGGTCTATTGTACAAGTTGCTAACGTTAACGCTTTGCGATTGCAGGTATTTTCCTCGTTGTGCGCATGCAGCGTCTCTCGAGGCAGCTCAGCTTAGTTACGACGCTAGCGCAACGCCAACCCCAGCTATCAACAGTCCAACGCCACCAACTGACACGACCGATAACAACCAGCTGCAGTCGTGAGTGATAAGCGTCATATCTCTTACTTTACTGTTAAACTCTTTAGTTTTAATGGTCTAACAGAAATACGTTGATCATTTTCTTTAAAGATACAGGTCACGTGTTAACACATCATTGGTAATTCTTGACCTTTTTTTAATAATAATACTAAACTATTTCATTAATTTAAAATTATCATTTGTTTCACATTTATCCAAGTTCATGTCAATAGCAAAATTCACTCTATAATGGCATTAGGCATTCGCTTCAAACTACTTTCCATGCATAGGCTTCTTCCGTTGAATGCTTGCTTGGCCATTGAAGTAATATGTACCTACTAAATACTAGAAGATACCTATAGATTATATGTAGATTACTTATTATTTCTTATTATACCTAGTCAGGTCATAAGTATTGTCACACAGTAAAAACTTTTCTTTTAGAATGCTGGCCACAAAAAAGTTTATTGAATTCGAATTTCGAATTGTTCATGAAAATAAAACTGTATACTTTTTAGAATTTTACTCATTTTTAAATATGGAGTGGACGCTTAAAGAAGACCGTGTTGCAGTTATTGCGTTGCATCGTTGCGGTTACGCGCCAATTCAAATTTTTGACATACTGAAAAATTTGAATATAACCAAAAGATTCATTTATCGTACCATCAAACGATACAATGAAGACTCTAGTGTAGATGACAGGTCAAGAAGTGGTCGCCCTCGGTCTGTTAGGACTCCAGCAGTGATAAAAGCTGTGAAGGCGCGAATTCAAAGAAATCCCAAACGTAAGCAGAAACTGTTGGCCCTTCAGATGGGGTTAAGCAGAACCACGGTGAAAAGGGTGTTAAATGAAGACTTAGGGCTTCGGGCATATCGAAGAAAAACAGGACATCGTTTGAATGCTCGTCTAATGGACCTGAGACTGAAGAGATGCCGCGCTTTATTAAAGCGGTACGCGGGAAAAAAATATCGGGAAATTCTTTTTTCGGATGAAAAAAATTTTACCGTAGAAGAGAGCTACAACAAATAAAATGATAAGGTGTACGCACACAGTAGTGAAGAAGCGAGCAACCGTATTCCGCGTGTCCAACGAGGTCATTTTCCATCCTCGATCATGGTATGGTTGGGAGTTTCTTATTGGGGCTTAACAGAGGTACATTTTTGTGAGAAAGCTGTAAAAACGAATGCAGTTGTGTATCAAAATACAATCCTGACGAACCTTGTGGAACCTGTTTCTCATACCATGTTCAATAACAGGCACTGGGTATTCCAACAAGTTTCGGCGCCAGCTCATAGAGCGAAGAGCACACAAGACTGGCTGGCGGCGCGTGAAATCGACTTCATCCGGCACGAAGACTGGCCCTCCTTCAGTCCAGATTTAAATCCGTTAGATTACAAGATATGGCAACACTTAGATGAAAAGTCGTGCTCAAAGCCTCATCCCAATTTGAAGGCACTCAAGGCATCCTTGATTAAGGCAGCCGCCGATATTGACATGGACCTCGTTCGTGCTGCGATAGACGACTGGCCGCGCAGATTGAAGGCCTGTATTCAAAATCAGGGAGGTCATTTTGAATAAACTTTAGTGTCATAAGAATTTATGATTTGTTAAGTTCATTTTGATATATAAATGGTTACATAATGAATAAACTTGTTTCAATTATTTTATATGAAACATGTGACAGAATTTATGACCTGACTAGGTATATAGATTACTATAGATAGATTTGGTTGGGTGCAATACGGATTAGATATACTTAGTCTGCACCATAAAAATGTACTCCGTGTCTCTTTTAACGCGCCTCTCACTGCCGCACAGATTTTATTTGCGGTGTCTGTTCTAGTACATATACTCGTAGTACATATTATTTCAATGTGCTTTACATGCGGATTGGTAATGACTTTGTCTGATGTTTCGCTTTTTTGCACTCTGTATAAATACGATATCTATGTACCTCCAATCAGAGGTAACAAGATTTTTCCTGGTATTTCCCTCCGTCGCATCTTATGGCAACCACGAGACAAAAAAAGGAGTACTGAATTTTCACAGGGAAGTTAAAAAATGACGTGTTTTTTATCCAACTGTTTGATTGAACAGTGATTAATTAATGTATAATAATAAATATGATCTTCTTAATATCTTATTTTTCACAAGGCAATATATGTGGCTTAAAGACAGTGTATGTTTATTTTTCTTTACCTTCAGCTTGTAAAAGTTGATTGAAGATGATCGAAGTCGCCGGTCTCGATATTTCACTTCTATGCAAAGGTTTTGCTTTCATTTTCCATATTAAATGCTGCTCATTAAAGTATAGGCTTAAGTACAGTGATACAATGATTTCAATAAGTAATAAAATTAGGTTCATAATCGTTATAACAGTACATCACATTTCTACTTCTGAAAAAACATCCCGATGATTTTTGCTGATTAGAAAACAGGGTGCTAAGCCAATTTTTATACTGCACTAATACGTGAAGAAAAGCATATTAATATTATGAATAAAATAGATGATTTTTATTAAGTTATGCAATGAGTATTATTATGAACTGGCTGTCCCTCGCGACTTCATCCGCGTGGAATTTACTACGATTTCTAGGGTTTTAATTTTTTTGCACGGAGCCCTGATTATTTTTCTAAAATAAAAGTATCCTAAGTTACTCCTTATAACATCAGCTATCTGCCAGTGTAAGTCCCGTCAAAATCAGTCCAGCCGTTTTGGAGATTAGCCGGAACAAACAGACGGACAGACTGACAGACAAATGTGTTAAAATTGTCTTTTTATTATTAGTACCGTTTATACTTTCATATGCATTTTGTAAAAAGCTGTTATTTTAACATTACAAACAGACAATTCAATTTTATTTATTTGTATAGATAAAGTCGAATGATTTTTTAAAAGTATTTTTTATTTGTATTTTTGTGTAAGGAGTAGGATACAATGTTAATTTGTAATAGTTTATTCCTTTTAAATGTCTAAATTATTATAAGTGGTGTTTACACTGGATCCATTAAAATAACATCAGCTAATATGTAAATTTGTAATTGTTTATTTCTTTGAAATATTTAAATTATTATGGGTGTTTGAAATTTGAATATAGTAGAGATTTGGCATTATTAGGTCTGGTGCCGCTCATAACGCACGTGTGGTAGCGGCTGGCAGCTCGTGGCGGGCTTTAGGTGTTGTGGGGGGTGGGGCCAGGCATGCGGACTACGCTGCACTTGCGACTCGTCTCCAGACCTTCAGCCGCTGGCCAGCTGATCGGCCGCAGCAGCCGCGGGCACTAGCTGAAGCGGGCTTTTACTACACTGGTGTCGATGACCAGGTACAAGACTATTTTAGGAAATAAAGGGTGATTAGTTTTTAATAATAAAACTATACATAATTATACAAATAAAGTTTTGTATTTAGGTCCGATGTTTTTACTGTGATGGGGGGCTGGGCAAGTGGGAGGCGGGTGACACCCCATGGACGGAACACGCGCACTGGTTCCCGCACTGCGGCTACGTGTTGCTCGTCAAAGGACAGGAGTTCGTCGACTCGTGCCGCAATCGTACAACCGTGCAGCGTACCGTATGTCGTAAATTTATCTTCATTACCATATTACTATTACCACTGGCAATTGATCGTGTACACTAAGACATACATTCAGAACAATTTTTTGTAGTAACAAATACTTGTTTCGTGAGGGATTCGAACGCGCAGCCCACAACGCTTAGCCACTACACTACAGAGTCATCAAAATATATGGTATTTAACTTACGCTCTGTTGCTCTATATATATCGAAATACGTTTCATTCAGATTGAAAGTAAAGCCATCATACGTAAAGTAAAGTAAAGCCACTGCTGAGGACAGGCCACCTAGATTACTGAAAAGGTTTTAGAGCAAGTGTACAGATCCCAAAAAATAGCCACTAGGAGATAGGGTTCATGAAATGAAACTCAACTATCAATTAGCAAAAGGAGTCAAAAAGCATTGTATAATATGTAACGAAACCTTATGTACTATTTAAAGCAAACCTTTACAACGCTTTATAAATAACACAAGCTATGGGCAAAACGACACCTAGTAAAATAAAAATAAACTAAATATTGTAAACAAAGTAAGTGACAGATTTCATACAGCAAGTGAGAGTCCCGCGCGCTGAGCCAGTGTGTGTTAGCAGACTTCTTATATCCCTTAAATATGTATATTGTGTAGTGTTCGGGTAAACAAGAAATCATTATGTCGTCGAAATAATTTATTTTCTATTTTCTCAGCATATATTACACTCGAGATGTTTGATGTACGTTTTCACCACTTAAAATTTCAAATTACTATTTTAGGATCCAACTCCGGTTGCTTGATGCTTGCGTACGTGATTTTTTAAGGCGGGCGCTTATCCCTCGTTTTACATCTTATAGAATATACTTTATAAATTTACTTTTCTAATTTCAGGTCTCTGCTGATAGTGGACTAAGTTCGAGAAGAAGAAATCAAAGTGTTAATTTCCCTATTGATGAAAGTCAGGTAAAATTTTGTTATTCGCCGTTTGATTCAATTTCTATCATTTTACAATTTATAATATATTAGCGCTCCGCTCTAGCTTTGCACGGGTGATTTCTGGATCTCGTCAACAACGACACATATCGGCTACAAGTATAGCTAACCCTATGTATGCATCTCAAAGCATCCAACATGTAAAGTTTTGAATTATATCGCATAAAATAAGTCACACAACATGTTTTGTTGATGGACGCGTTCGCACTCACAGAAACTGTGTAAAATTTTCAACAGATACGCGTTCACACTCACAGAAACTGTGTAAAATTTTCAACAGATATTAAGATTTGTTGTTGTCTGTGTTTGCATTGAGTACAACATAGACAGACATTCTATTTGTTTATCTAAAGATTTGTCAACGTTAGCGTTAGCTCTGTTGTTTTTTATGTTTTGCGATTTGTTTTACAACGTGTTTTTTTGTTATCCGATTTAGTTGCTAAACATCACAAAATACCATTACTCCTAACGGAGAAGAACGATAACTTGTGATATATACCAACTAACTCCATATGTAGTCTGACTACCTGCAATTCTCTTTTGCGGCGGGAAATTTTTTTGGATTTGTATTTGGGGTATTTTTATTTAGCTCGGAATAAAATAACATAATAATATACAAAAGTACTGGTAGTTAAAAAAAGTAAAACTTCTTCATCATTTGATTCCATTATTGTTGAAGTCCTACAAATACAAAATTAACGTCAAATTTATCTTTCAACATGACAAAATATATCTACAATTTTTTTTAAACATTTGTTTCGCGTAACATAATTTAAAATATGTTTTGTACAATACAGTGTAAAACACATTTCAATAGAAACTGTTCTTTGACTATGCAAACGCGATTCGATACATTGTCCGAAAACAGTGTTTTAAACATGTTTTTTTTCTGTGAATATCGTATATATATATATATTCGTCAGTGTAACTCACAGTTAGAAGACCCCATAAGTAACTCATAAAGATTAGATTTATCAGGCTAAATACTTAACCGACTGTACAACATCATAATATACAGGGTTATTTTTCAAATACGGAAGCACGGAGCTTTTGCCTACTATTTACTTCCTTAATGACACTATCGCTACTAAGTTGATAACTACGACGCGAAATATGATTCCAATTTTCTTTTCATTCTTTAAGAGGGCTTAGGACCGTCATAATAAATAAAATGAAAAAAGAAAATACGTTTCATCGACGACTGGAATAGATGCTATGCAAATAAAAGTTCTGCACACCTCGAATTAAATAATATTTTTACTCCCACACAAAATACAGTTCGAAATACAAGTTTAGACTGCAGAGTGAGGGAAAGAGGTGAAGAATAAATATAAACAATTAGTTGTAGAAGAGTTAGTTGATCTGGAAGGCCAATGATAGGTTGGCGCGATTTAAATAATGGTTACTCAGGCGGCTCGAGCATAGCGTCTAGCGCTGAAAGCGTTTAAAAGCAGACTAGCTGGTAGGCTTGGGCAAAAAATATCGATATATCGAAATATCGATATATTTAAATAAAAATATCGATATATATATATATATCGGCGATATTTGAAATCGCCATATTTATTTTAGAGTATGTATATAAAAATATAGATTCGATATATATCGATATATTTTTTCCCTTGCCCATCCCCACTAGCTGGCGCTGGCTGGCCGGTAAAACCGAAGTCCCCCGGACGGCTACGAAGACAGTGGAATGGTGCCGAGCCTCAACCGACACGAACATCGCGTCGGCGCGTACGCTGCTTAATAAACATATTCATAACTGACAGAAATTGTATATTGTTCTATATTGTTGTATTACAGACGTAACCGATGACTATCTTTATTATGGCGTATTTAAAATTGGAATCAAGTATTTACAACTATTAACAATATAAAACGATTAACTATTTACAAAAAACTATTTACATCTTAAATATGCAATCACTTAAAATATAACTAACTTGTATTTTAATGGGTGTTCAAAGTGGAGTCCGTTTGTCACAATGCACAGTTGAGCACGTTTCCTTTAATTATTTTTCACATTAATTACATGTGTCTGACCACTTTTCACTTCCGTGAATACAGCAATTATTTTGCTGCAGAGGCATAGCTTTGGGCCTATTCGACGTAAACTTGTCTCTTTATTTCACCCCATAAATAAAAGACTAAGGATGTAAGGTCCGGTGACCTTGCAGGCCATGGTATAGACCTGCCATGCCCAATCCATCTATATTCGTATTCGCTATTCAAATAATCACGCACTGCCATTGATCACTAATAAAACACTGCCCTTGAATAGTGAGGCGGAGTACCGTCGTGTTGGAAATAAAAATTATTCAGTAACACTAGGGGTATATCGTTCAGGAAATCTTGAATAACACCTTGTAATATGTCCAAATAATTACCAACCATTAATCGTCTTTCAATGAAGTACGGGTCCACAATTATGTTATCAATAATTCCGGCCTAAGCATTTACACTAAATAGCACTTGATGATACCTTTTTTTTTTATAGAGTATGCAAATACTTCCCACTAATGTTCGTTGCGATAATTATAAAGCCCTACACGCGTAAATAGGGCTTCGTCAGTACACATAATGTTAGTATTATCAATTTTCGATAACAACCATTCACCAAAATGTTTTTGAAGTAGACCATCGTTGGTAATGAAATGGGTGATATCCAGAAGAATTCAGTAGTTTTCACCCGTAGTATTGACTGTGACAAGTAATACTTACAATAATACTACGAAAATTTAAAAATTGGACACTCGTTAAGTACGTAATGAGGTCACGGTCAAGTCAACACTGTCCGCCGGTCAGGTGAACGTACCCAGCGGTGTAATGGAAGGGAAAGACGCGTATGTTTTTACCGAGTCAAAACAACTATTAGATACCTAAACCTGTAAACGAGCGCGAGCGCCGAACGCCACCGACTGCTTTCGGACTCAACACTACCCTACGAATGTGTGCGTGCGTAAAAAATAGTAGATGCTTCATATTTATGAATGACAAGCAATTAAAATAATGCATTTCCACACATTTTGAATATAAAGGATAAAATGTTTCTGTTTTTTTTTCTTCTTGTTTTTATATTTTTTTCATCATTCGCTGATGTTATCTATTCTGAACCTCCTCTGCAAATTTTCCGATTATTGCAAAATAACCCTATATATGGTATTTTCAATTATTATGACATTTTGTATCAATTGAGAGCCAAAATTTTATGTTATTACACAAAAGTTGGCTTTGGATGAGATTCAGATACAGGGCTTAGTACTCTGACCAATAGACTAACAAAGTGTATAAAAATAATATTGTGTTTCGGACCTCGTAAGTTAATGAGGTCAGTAAAAAATGTTTTTTCATCGTAAATTTATTTTTTTATTTTATTTTGTTCGGAACACAAAGAGCATTGATATGCCTATTTCGTTTATTACTTTGGCCGTGGATGGAAAAGGAGAGATCTCCCGCCGGGCAAGGTGTTCAGCCCGGAGAGCGGCCAACGCTCAAAGTGGTAGTTTGCGGCTATTCTATATATACTACAGTAACTTCGGAATTTTGATAGCGTGATTTAGGCTTCGGTGTGTTTCGCTTGTGGCGCGACGACAGCGCCGCCACATTACAAAATTTGAAATCAGCATAGCTAGTAAAATGTATTTATATAATATGCAAACTTATCTTTGCCCATCCTTGACTGCTGATATTTACTATCTTGACATTACCGAATTGCAGTTTAATAAGCTTGAAAGAATTCAAATGTTATTACATTTCTATTTGTCTTCCACACATATAATCATGTTTCCATTTTTTGTAAACAGCATAAGCAGCTCCTGATTGGCCTTCGGGTTAGAGCAGCATTTCACTCACATTCTTTCCACTCTGTATGGCATGGCCTCCACTCCTCACAAGTAAAAATACGGTTTCAGTATATTTCGATTTGGTTCCTCGCAAACTTCTGGCAATCGTTCCCTCCGCACACTTGTGTACTCTTCAATTTTCTACGAAATCCTTCATGGTCTCTGCTCTCTAAGATTTTTTCTTATTGGAGAGGAGGCAAAGAAGCATCCGGCTCACCTGATAGTAAGTGATCGCCGTCGCGTCATGACCATCCGTAACACCAGGAGAATTGTAAGTGCTTTCCCGGCCTCTTAAAAAGAGTAGGCAATTTCCTTGAAGGTCCCTAAGTGGTATCGGTACGGAAAAACCGCTGACGACCGTAAATTCCACAGTACGGTCGTGCGAGGCAGAACATTCCCCGTAAATCGCACAGTAGTGGTCCGTTAGCCATCAAGATACTAAGGATGGAAAATTTAGAGTTCTGTAACAGTGTACGATGGAGGAATACAGCATCTGGAATAACTCCTCATGTGTCAGGTCAGTGGATAAAGCCGATCGGAAAGAACATGATCGTCGACGATTCGGGCCGCTCTCCATTCAATACGGTCAAATGGAAGGAGCTGATACTGGAGTTTCCTGGCCCAGAGATGAGAACAGTATTCCATATTAGGCCGAACTTGCGCTTTGTAAAGCTGCAAGCGGTGGGCCGGCATGAAATACCGTCTCGATCTACTGAGCACACGAAGCTTTTTTGATGTCTTCCCTTCCAAGTAACTGCCGAACTGTACGTCTCTCGAAATGTCTAGCTGAGGCAATGAGGGGAGTGCCTTGAAATTGAGGAGATATGACAAAGGGGTACTTTTTTGTGGTATACGTGAAAACCTGTGTCTTATCTACACTACTATTATAAAGAGGAAAGATTTGTTTGTTTGTTTGTTTGAATTGAATAGGCTCCGAAACTACTGGACCGATTTGAAAAATTCTCTCACTATTAGAATCCTACATTATCCCTGATGAACATAGGCTATGTAATATTTTCAAAAAAGTTAGGGATCCGTATGAAAACTTCGTTAATGTAACCCAAGGTGTGAAAAAAATACTAAAAAGAATTCTTATATCGCGTACGCTGCGGAAACTATTGATAATAAAGCAAAGTAATGTACTTCAGTTTTATAGAGGATATCAATATCTACAAAAAAGTCTGCGATACCATATGTTTAACTATTACAGTTGTGTCACAATAACTACTTTTTCATGTTAAAATGTGAAATCGTAACGCCGGTACAAATACTACTAATACGTACTGATACGAATAATGTGGCCTAGACATTATTCGTATCAGTACCTGTATCATGCATAACCAGCAATTACGTTAACCATGTAATTTTAGTAACATATTTCACTTTTTAAATCTTTGTTAACTCAGCAACCGTCCGTCGTGATGTCTCTCTCGAAGTTCGCATGTCGCAAGGCGCAGACGCGTGATATACGCGGGTGAAACCGCGGGGCACAGCTAGTGGAGTTTAAACTGGACTAGATTTAGTCGCTATACTTAGTTCAACAAAGACTCGACTTCAGACACAAGTTTTTTCCGACACTCATCGATGTGTTCCCGAGAAATATTAGCACGGCCGGTGTATAAGGCATCGCCATTTCTAACGTCTGCATAACAATGAATGTTACTAGTATGCAAATGCAACATATCATTAATATGCAGAAGACAGGAGTCGGAGCATGCACCGTTGATTACGACCTTAATATTCCGATCTGTAAGAAAACTGGTGACCCAATTGCATAATTTCTCGGGAAGCCAATAAGACGGAAGTTTCGAAAGAAGCGCTTTGTGCCAAACCCGATCGAAGGCCTTCGTTATGACCAAAGTAACTGCCAGGGCCTTCTCCTTGGTCTCCACTACCTCCGCCCATCGGTGAGTCAGGTAGACAAGAAGATCACCATCTTATAGAAATCTCATTCTACTTTCAATAATCTTGTTAAAATACATTACTTGGATTGCTAATTTATAAATTCCTTTATTTTTTTCATTTTTGTACTTAGGTATGTTAATTGTAGTTTCTATTCTACGCTACCTTCTTATTTATTACCCTATTCGTTGAAATCCAACAGGTTATACATAAATATTTGACATTATACTTCCACTTCCATTCTGTACAATGAAGAAAATAGTAAATGAATAAATAAAATTAGAAAATTTAAATATCAATGCAGGTTGATGAGTGTATGGAAAGCAGTGCAGCTTTAGCAGCTCTTGGCGCCGGGCTGGACGCAGCTCGAGTGAGACGCGCTATAGTTCGTCGGTTACGTTCCACTGGTAAGTAAGTAGGCTCTACATTATATTTAGATATTTATATTTTTATTCTTTGAATAGAATCTGTCATATTAAACCATTAATTTTTAAATATTGTAAACAATCTTTACCTGTCTTTATTGAAATATGATGAAATAAATATATAGGTAAATAAATATGTAAATAATGCACAATACAAAGAGTAAATATAATATTCATTCATTAGAGCCTATTAGAGTCCAATGCTAAACATCTTTACGTGGTAGATCCATTCTGCAGCTATATTTCTGGTATAGTTGAAGCATGAATGGGTCGGACCGGGGAAGGACCACGCTCTCACAGAATACCAGCGTAAAATAGCGGCTTAATGCTGCTGTGTTTCGTATGGTGAGTGTAAAGAACCGGAGACCTTTTTTACTGGAAACGAGGCATTCCATCTTATTTCTTACGGGTGACAACGCATCTGCATTTTGATTCGTAATCGAGGATAGATGTAGATGTCTATGGGCCACAGAAACCACTTACCATCAGGTGGACTGTGTGCTCGTTTGTCACCCTTCTTCTATATAAAAAAAAAAACATAGATTGTATCATAAAGGGATATTTGCCGTAGTAGTCGCGCTTGGCGTTAGTAACCATTATATACCATTTTGCACGCCTCACAAAGTGAGGTAGTATTAAACTAAAAAAAAAAAAATCGACTAATATTGCTTTGTAATAGTGACGGCTATTGAAGTTAATCAATTTTTGTTCGATAAAATGATTTTACAGGTAACAAAAATTGATTAACTTTCAAGGTGGTCCGTAAAATAAACTAATTTTAATACAAATCGGTAAGATATGAAAGCGTGGATTGTGAAGAATGCATTTTTTTGGAGTTTAACGGCTCCGTGGCGCAGTGGCTTAGTAATTGAATTGTAGCGCTAAGGGCCGCGGGTTCGAATCCCGCACGGAACAAGTATTTGTATGCCCTACAAATAATTGTTCCGGCTCTGGATGTTGTCCTTTTGTAATTTATGTTTGTTAACTGCCCCCATGATACAGGAGAAAATCCTTTTTAAAAGAAATAAAATATTTGCCATTTTTAAAGCACCGCACACAGAGGAGGCCGAGATAATAGGAAATACTTTATACTGAACTAGCTGTTCTCCGCGGTATCACTCGTCTATATGACCCTCTTTCGGTTCTCATCGGGTGACTAGGCATCATTCGCGCGCCGAGTCTAATGTTAAAGCATTTTTATTTTTCGTCAAATAACATGCTATAAAGTGCAAAGTTTATCTTCATAAAATTGTTTTAATTATGAGGTTGTGAACTTTTGTTTAATATGCTATGCCTAATAATAACGCTCATAAATCACTTTTTAATTTTCAATATTTCTTGTAACAATATACCTTATTGTGGCTTATGTATAAGAAATAGGACCATGGTATCGGGACTTTTTTTTTACATGGAGGAAAGATCTATATTTTTGTAAAACAATGCATTTAGGTATAACCAACCATTACGCCAGCGCACGCGAAATAAGTTCGGGAGCGCTTTTGCACTTGCTTAACAAAAATCAATATTTAAGGCTAGTTAAGGGATGTAGCCCAATGCTAGATAGCCTATACTATTCCTCGTGAATCTGGCTATCATATACAAAAAGAATTTATCGTTCAAATTATCTGGTATTTCCAAAGATTAGCGTGTTAATAGAAACAAAAATCGTCTTTCGCTTTATTATATTAGTTTAGATTCTCATTCTCTCCTATAGATCATTTGTTTCAAATTACGAAGCTAAAGTAGTTTTCACTGCAAGAAGAAAGTCTGTCTAGGTTTTTTGTTGTTTCTTTCCTGCGGTGTCAGTCAAGATTGAGAGATGAAAACATTCTACGATCGTTGACTCGATAGAAAATTAAAATGAAAAGGAATTAAATCACATCTAAGTCACGCGTCTTGACGTTCAGATATGTCATTCCCATTCATTTTTATAGTTGTCTATAGCGTTAACGATTGTAGAAAGTGATCTTGGTTAACCTTGCAGGACTCTTAAAATTAGTATTCTTTAAATATAAAACATCGCCTTTTTTATTGGAGAGATGTTAAATATTAGTAATCACATTATTTTCAGTCAAAATCGATATTCGCAAAAGCTTATAAATTTTCAGGTCTCCCCTTCACTTCATCGGAGGCTCTAATAGATGCAGTACTAGATGAACAATTGAACGAGGAAGCCTGGAGCGTGACACCGCAAAGCCAAAGATTGGCGAGGGACATACTCGCTGAGACGTTAAGGGACTTTGCACCTAGATCTAGGTAATAATTTAATGTGTTCATTTACCTGTGTTTCTAATGTTCATAATTGTCTCATGAAATAGTGCAATATTACGTAAAACCTTTTTATCGAGGTTGAATGTTAGTGAGTGTATACTAAGATTGAGCCACACTAGTTCATGGTATAACCGCTTGCCTTAAAACTTTATGGTACGTGAAACAAACACAGTTTAAGGTCACAGCTGGCATCAACTAAATTATCAATTACAATTTTAATTGTTGATTTACCGCACATAGTCGATGGCGAAGTAAATCATCACAAACAACGATAATGGCATGGGATCAAAATATCCCTTCGGCATCCCAAAAGCCGGAAAGCAGTTACAGAAACAGTTCAAAAGCTACCTAATATGGTGTCATTATATTACGCTGGAGTTGTCGAACGGAAGTTTGGTCCCACACATCAGCTCTTTGATGGCACACTTCTGAATTAAGTAACGAACTGGCAAGACGTGCGGAAAATTTATGGATGTAGGTGGTTCAGGACTGTGTTGTATGGCCGTCATTGTGGTACGTATATGTTCAGCTGATGAATAGTCCATTAGAGCCTATAAAAGTCCACTGCTGAACATAGGCCTCGCTCATAGATTGCCTCATGGGGGAATTCTGCCATAGTTGCCACGCTTTGCAAGCGGGTTGGCAACCGCAGTTTTTTTTAATATTTTGAGTTGTTATCAGGAAGATGCTGCTGCCCATCCCCTGTTTCATTCTTCCTCTGTCGCCTCTTACGACACTTGACGATATGGGGTAGTGGAAATTCTTACACCGCCACTAGACGGTTACGGCTAGTTGCCTTGTGATATATTGCAATGATGACGATGACTTTTCAGGTATGATTCTGATTCAGCTAGTTTGAATATCAGTTTTAAAAGCTATTAATTAGGTCTTAGAAATAAGATTTCAACTAACATGATAATGAGGTAGGTGTCGGGAGACTTTACGCCACGTAAATCGAAGGCTGCCAATAAAATATTACACTAATAAAAAACATTATTTTAAAACGATAATTATTTGTAACAAACTGTGCTAATAACTGACTAAATAGATAATGAAATCACCATCAAAAATATGTTCAAGGAAAATCCACAATTTCAGAAATATAAATGATAGTAGTTGAACTATTTTATTCATACAACTGTAATTTTTAATTTGTTTATTCTATATTTTATCTCACGAATATCTTATCTCATGATTAAAAACCTAAGTCACGTAAAAAACAACATTTGACCAGGTCTATGGCACTTGTGCCACCACTGACGAGGAAGCGATTAGCTATCGACCATTTTCTCGCCCAAGAAACGTACAATAGATATAAATCCCGTGTTAATGAAAGAGATACATATATAAAAGTGAGAACCTCTCTCCACTAGTTTGTCGCAGCAACAAGAGCTATTAAAGATAAAATTCGCTCAGCGATGCTCGCTTGGCGGTCAGGATTCACGCCGATAGACCAACCAGCTGTAATTGTACACTACAGTCTACACTGCGGATCTGAGAGTACTCGTTTAGAGCCCAGCGACAAAACTATAGGAACTAGACACTCACTTCTCGCTGCTCACTAACTATTTATCTAGTTTCTAGCTCTACTCGTTGGCGGTAGGACAAATGCCTATGGTGACTGTTAACAAGCACGCTGGGTATATTATTTATGTAATAAGAAATACATTAATTACAGAATAATACCATCGTCACAGAACGAAGAGGAATCCGAAAGCAGCTCCGAATCAAATAGTACACCTCCTTCCCCAACGCCAGTCGAAGTGAGAGAATCTGTCCCAACCCAACCTCCACAGACTGATGGTGTTCAACCAGAAAGCTTAAATACTTGCGACAGAGACAGTAATACGACAAATACTGAAGACACGAGTGCTCAAAACAGTGAGCCGAGTCCGGTGACACCAAAGAAAGAACTAACTTTAGAAGAAGAAAACAGACAACTAAAGGAAGCGAGACTTTGCAAAGTGTGCATGGATAGTGAGGTAAGACAATATGAGATTATCTATTTTTCATTACAAAATTCTTCTGTATTGTGGATGCGTATTACATACATGTTTTGAACATGAAAAACACCCAGATTCAGAATGGTTATTCTAATGCCATACAAATATTTGTATTGTGTGTGTCGCAGTCCGCATCACCGCAGCCAAATGCTTAGCTACTGCCCACTAAAGAAAAGAATCGATATGCGTGCTTTCCATTCGTCAATTGAGCCTTTTTATAGAATATTTTAGATGGTAAAACTCTTTTTCTACCCTGCAACATTTAGGTATTTAGAGTCAGTGTAGATTGAGCAACAAAATGTTCGGGCAATTTTCACTGATAGATTGATAATGGACTAATAAATCACAGTTAACAATTAAATGATAATAGCGCAAACACACTCGAACGTGTCCGATAATGCTGAATTAAACGAGAAAAAGTTAAAGCTAGTGTAACACGTCACGTCAGTGCTAAAACTTGAAACACATATAGAGAATTCGAGACACTGTACAAGCAGTAGTGCGGATGATCAGACGTACGCTGTTGCTGCTGAGTTTACGCGGTGCATTTTTACTCACAGTGTAAACATTTTGCTGCTCAATGGGCGCTGATCTTAAAAGTAACGCTCTTAAGGTTACTGCAGGTAGGGGCACTGCATTCGATCCGAATCTAAGATATGTTGATCCGTAGTAGCCGTAGTATTATTGGTACGCTTGGCGCACTACTTTCGAATTCCGTTTAACGAAGTTGAGAATATCTAGTTTGGATCATAATATTCACGGACCGAAGTAACCACAGTATTATTTGTATTAACACTTGCGCACTTTTTCGAATCAAGTTCGATCCGATCGGTGGTGTTGGTTGTATATTCTAAACGCTAAAGATATATACGAAACAGCACGGGAATGACCAAAATTTTCGAATTTCAAGTGTACAAGCGGTAATTGTATTTTCTTAGATTTGGATCGCACGCAGTGCGTAAACTTCAGATTTGTGTCATAGTCTAAGATCCGGTTGCAAGATTACTAAGTTCATTTAGTTTTTAATCAAAATCTCATTTTTATATATAATTATACATAAGTGGGGTTAGACAAATTTGAAATTAGATTGGCATCTTGAGAATTAAATATACATTGCTTTGTAATATTTGTGTAGTAAGTGCTTTATCAGAATCAATATTCAAACACATAGAAAAATCTTTACTATATATATATATATATATATATATATATATATATATATATATATATATAATATTTACTAAATTTAGAAAACGACCACAATTTTATTAAATTAAATTTAAATAAATTTTTATTTGCAAATTGTAATTGGCTGGAGAGTAAGAGTATAGTCAAAGACACTGCTTTACCGATGCGCGTCTCAGTGAAACGTAATAAAACCGCATACAATTTGCAAATAAAAGTTTAATTAAATTAAAAAAAAAAATATGATTGACTTTTCTGAATTTGTTTCTATAAGTTTGTATACTGATTCTGATAACGCATTTGTGGGAATACAGGGTTTATGTTATATGTTATACAAGTGAAGGGCGTAAACGGTTTAAGGCGCAGTTTATACTGAAGAGACGCGGCGAGGGCGTGTGGCGGTGGCGGATAATCAAAGAAACATAAAATAGACCTAATAGTTATGTCGCACAGCGTCGACAATCCGACAAAAAGTCGGAAGGAGAAGTGCGCATGCGCATTAAATGACGTCAATGCCGTTCCAGGTGGCGCGCGTTTCATCTTTAGTCATATTGTTTTTATAAATTAGGTGTATTTTGTGTTTGTTTGTAATGAATACCGCTACCGCCCCACGGCCTCGGCACGTGTCCTGTGTGTGAACCGCGGCTGAGTCGGCGTGCGTGGTGCGTGTGCGGCAGGTGAGCGTGGTGTTCCTGCCGTGCGGGCACCTGGTGTCGTGCGCGGGCTGCGGCGCGGCGCTGGCGGCGTGCCCGCTGTGCCGCGCCGCCGTGCGCGCGCTCGTGCGCGCCTACCTCGCCTGACCGCGCCGCGCCGCACCGCAGCACGCAGGTAAGCGCAGTGTTCCTGCCGTGCGGGCACCTGGTGTCGTGCGCGGGCTGCGGCGCGGCGCTGGCGGCGTGCCCGCTGTGCCGCGCCGCCGTGCGCGCGCTCGTGCGCGCCTACCTCGCCTGACCGCGCCGCGCCGCACCGCAGCACGCAGGTAAGCGCAGTGTTCCTGCCGTGCGGGCACCTGGTGTCGTGCGCGGGCTGCGGCGCGGCGCTGGCGGCGTGCCCGCTGTGCCGCGCCGCCGTGCGCGCGCTCGTGCGCGCCTACCTCGCCTGACCGCGCCGCGCCGCACCGCAGCACGCAGGTAAGCGCAGTGTTCCTGCCGTGCGGGCACCTGGTGTCGTGCGCGGGCTGCGGCGCGGCGCTGGCGGCGTGCCCGCTGTGCCGCGCCGCCGTGCGCGCGCTCGTGCGCGCCTACCTCGCCTGACCGCGCCGCGCCGCACCGCAGCACGCAGGTAAGCGCAGTGTTCCTGCCGTGCGGGCACCTGGTGTCGTGCGCGGGCTGCGGCGCGGCGCTGGCGGCGTGCCCGCTGTGCCGCGCCGCCGTGCGCGCGCTCGTGCGCGCCTACCTCGCCTGACCGCGCCGCGCCGCACCGCAGCACGCAGGTAAGCGCAGTGTTCCTGCCGTGCGGGCACCTGGTGTCGTGCGCGGGCTGCGGCGCGGCGCTGGCGGCGTGCCCGCTGTGCCGCGCCGCCGTGCGCGCGCTCGTGCGCGCCTACCTCGCCTGACCGCGCCGCGCCGCACCGCAGCACGCAGGTAAGCGCAGTGTTCCTGCCGTGCGGGCACCTGGTGTCGTGCGCGGGCTGCGGCGCGGCGCTGGCGGCGTGCCCGCTGTGCCGCGCCGCCGTGCGCGCGCTCGTGCGCGCCTACCTCGCCTGACCGCGCCGCGCCGCACCGCAGCACGCAGGTAAGCGCAGTGTTCCTGCCGTGCGGGCACCTGGTGTCGTGCGCGGGCTGCGGCGCGGCGCTGGCGGCGTGCCCGCTGTGCCGCGCCGCCGTGCGCGCGCTCGTGCGCGCCTACCTCGCCTGACCGCGCCGCGCCGCACCGCAGCACGCAGGTAAGCGCAGTGTTCCTGCCGTGCGGGCACCTGGTGTCGTGCGCGGGCTGCGGCGCGGCGCTGGCGGCGTGCCCGCTGTGCCGCGCCGCCGTGCGCGCGCTCGTGCGCGCCTACCTCGCCTGACCGCGCCGCGCCGCACCGCAGCACGCAGGTAAGCGCAGTGTTCCTGCCGTGCGGGCACCTGGTGTCGTGCGCGGGCTGCGGCGCGGCGCTGGCGGCGTGCCCGCTGTGCCGCGCCGCCGTGCGCGCGCTCGTGCGCGCCTACCTCGCCTGACCGCGCCGCGCCGCACCGCAGCACGCAGGTAAGCGCAGTGTTCCTGCCGTGCGGGCACCTGGTGTCGTGCGCGGGCTGCGGCGCGGCGCTGGCGGCGTGCCCGCTGTGCCGCGCCGCCGTGCGCGCGCTCGTGCGCGCCTACCTCGCCTGACCGCGCCGCGCCGCACCGCAGCACGCAGGTAAGCGCAGTGTTCCTGCCGTGCGGGCACCTGGTGTCGTGCGCGGGCTGCGGCGCGGCGCTGGCGGCGTGCCCGCTGTGCCGCGCCGCCGTGCGCGCGCTCGTGCGCGCCTACCTCGCCTGACCGCGCCGCGCCGCACCGCAGCACGCAGGTAAGCGCAGTGTTCCTGCCGTGCGGGCACCTGGTGTCGTGCGCGGGCTGCGGCGCGGCGCTGGCGGCGTGCCCGCTGTGCCGCGCCGCCGTGCGCGCGCTCGTGCGCGCCTACCTCGCCTGACCGCGCCGCGCCGCACCGCAGCACGCAGGTAAGCGCAGTGTTCCTGCCGTGCGGGCACCTGGTGTCGTGCGCGGGCTGCGGCGCGGCGCTGGCGGCGTGCCCGCTGTGCCGCGCCGCCGTGCGCGCGCTCGTGCGCGCCTACCTCGCCTGACCGCGCCGCGCCGCACCGCAGCACGCAGGTAAGCGCAGTGTTCCTGCCGTGCGGGCACCTGGTGTCGTGCGCGGGCTGCGGCGCGGCGCTGGCGGCGTGCCCGCTGTGCCGCGCCGCCGTGCGCGCGCTCGTGCGCGCCTACCTCGCCTGACCGCGCCGCGCCGCACCGCAGCACGCAGGTAAGCGCAGTGTTCCTGCCGTGCGGGCACCTGGTGTCGTGCGCGGGCTGCGGCGCGGCGCTGGCGGCGTGCCCGCTGTGCCGCGCCGCCGTGCGCGCGCTCGTGCGCGCCTACCTCGCCTGACCGCGCCGCGCAGCACCGCAGCACGCAGGTAAGCGCAGTGTTCCTGCCGTGCGGGCACCTGGTGTCGTGCGCGGGCTGCGGCGCGGCGCTGGCGGCGTGCCCGCTGTGCCGCGCCGCCGTGCGCGCGCTCGTGCGCGCCTACCTCGCCTGACCGCGCCGCGCCGCACCCCTAGCAATGCGCTGCGGCGGCACCGCTGCACACACACGTGAGTCGCACTTATTTTATTTTTTTTAAGGCAAAGGTATTTATGCTCATACAGTCTTGTCTGTGAATCGTTGTGATTTAAAACTAGATGAAACAAAAACACGACACTAAAAAGAGAAAATATACATGTATAGGATTTAGCCTGTGAGAAAATGAGTTACAATACATTATGCATTGTTTATTATATTATATTTATACTTTTTTACTATAAATTTCTACTCCTAATAATCTGCATTTGTCTCGTTCTCGAAGTTTAATTTTCTGGAGGTTTCATTTCCACCGTGTGTAAACTACACGCATTTTTTTATAGAATAAGGGTGATAAACGAACACTGTCACCCTTTAAACATCTATCCTCCATTAAGAATCAAAAGGTAGATACGTTGTCACTCTTGAGAAATAAGATAGAATGCCACGTTACAAGTAAAAAGGGATCTCCGGTTCTCTTCACTCGCTATAGGAAACACATAAGCATTGAGCTACTATTTTGCGCTGGTATTCTGTAAGAGAGTGGACCTTCATCAGCCTGACTCTACCACGTACAAAACAAATATTTTGTTCACAACATTTATATAGTATGTTGACGCGCCGTAATGACATACTTTATTCTACCATCGAAGCATTTCTTTCGTCGACTGCACACTTGCTCCTCAAAATTCGCTTTTATCCGTTATATCACAGTTTAAAGACCTTACTATTAGGAAACGAATGTACTTGTGCAGAGCAACAGTGGGGACATTCCGAGACAGGGGATGGGCCGACACCGAGTCTGATAGACAAGTTAATGAGTTACTAAGTAAAATTGAATTCAAATGATGGCCATGCTTATATTTCCCTCACTTTTTTGTTGATAAAATTATTTATCCGAATGCGAATACGTTACATAATTAAATTTAACAAACGAAAACTGAAAACATCTATAAAATGAAAGTGGAGTAAGTGTAAATGTGTGTTTTCTTGTAGTAATGAAAACTTATCTTGTTCAATAAACGTTTTTAACTTATAAATATGTACATATTGTTAATAAATGATAAAGAGTCCATTTATTTCCATTTTCGTGACAACCCCTAGCATACACGCTGGCCGCGTAAATAGCTACACAGACTAACTAGTAGATTCTACCCAAATCAGACGGACATCTCACGAACTAAACTTACTCGACTTAGCTTCTGCGTCCTGATTGGTTGTAGCAAAATGATATATGACATTTCTTTTTTTTTTTTTAATTTGAAGCAGCTATACCAGACAAAGGTCGCCCCAAATAATAGCCACTTGAAAAATTAATTTTATTATATTGAAAATAAAACGAGGTAAATACAAATTAAACAATGTTGAAATTGACTATTTTTTTATTAGTTATTAATACTTAAACTTTACAATAATTTTGTTTACAAATTTAATAATTAACTTTTTAATATATAGATTATTAAACAAAAACATAACATAAACACTCACGCCTGTCACCCAGAGGGGTAGGCAGAGACTACGGACTTCCATTTGGCGCGATCCTGACACACCTCTCTCGCCTCTTTCACATCCATATATCTACGCATACACGCTCGTCGGTTAAGGGTACTCCTAATCTGGCCCATTTTCAATGTATCGCCGATCTGGTCGATAAACCTTCGTCTAGGGCGTCCCTTCCCGACCCTGCCGTTCACTTCTGCAACATAAATTTGCTTTGTCACTCTTTCCTCGTTCATTCTTTCTACGTGACCAAACCACCGAAGCATTCCTTTCTTAATCCTTGTCACAACGTCATCTTGCAAACCACACTTTTCTCTTATTACACTATTTCTCACCCTGTCATTCAGATTCAGCCCTAGCATACTCCTTAAGGAACGCATTTCTACAGCATTTATTCTACTCTCATGCTTCTTCTGCCAGACCCAACTTTCACTACCATACATTAAAGTCGGTACTAACACAGCATTATGAATTGCCATACGTGCCTTAGTTGACACATTCTGACTCCTCACAATAGCGTGTAGAGCCCCATTCACTCTATTTCCTGCGTTCACTCGTCGTTCTATATCCTTATCATATCTACCATTCTTTCTTCTCTTTCAAAAACCATCACTTTCGTCTTACTTGCGTTCACTTTCATACCCCTTTCTTTCAATGAACAATTCATTAAAGTAACCATCATTTGCAACTCGGCCGCCGACGATGCAAATATGACTTGATCATCGGCGTACAAAAGGTTTTTTTTTAGATTATTAAAAGCTATAATAACTTAATTATTATTATACAGTCCTTATTTTAAATTTTCAATAATTTTGTTTACAAATTTAATAATTATTAATTAGTTAATACGAGTATATACAATATTAAAAAACTATAATTAAACAAACTAAAACTAATAATTCTCATACAGTCCTCATTTTAACTTTACAATAATTTTGTTTACAAATTTAGAATTAATGGATAAGTATCAATATAAGATTCACCAGTTTCACCACTTTCATTACTCACTTCCCTTTCATGTCCTTTAACAGGCTCATTATTTTTAATAATTGTGTACAGTGGTA